TTCACAAACTTACAAACAATATAAAGTCTTCTTTCTAGTCTGGAACTGCCTTGATATCTTATCGAGGGTTCACGATAAGTGAGTTAATTTCGAGATGGCGAAGGCACAATTCACTTAACAGGGAGCTAGCTAGCACTGTAGTCTTCACTGTTCATACGCCTATTAGAGATTGAGTTTTCACCGATGACGTCAGGTAATGTCTTTATAAAAGTACTAATGTCCGATGTGAATCCATTGAAGTTAAATGGTTTATAATGTTCGAAATTTATAAATATTCCTGATCAAATATCTGAAGTTTTCCGATTGATAAGCGTTATAACAATCACAGTTATGGCTTTCGAAGTTTATAACACACTGACTATAGCGAACTAATAATATATACTCTCTTTTGGCGCGTCGCGTTGGTTATATTTGTAAGCTGCGGAGGCTTTCTAGAAAATTCAGATTACGTAACAATACAAATTTAAGCGTTTACATACACACATATATTGTTGATTCTTACTCTCGAGAATCTTTTACAACATTGGAGAATAGGCGGGAGTTTCGCAATACGTATTGTATAAGCTATGTATGTTTCTAAATATAAATTTGTTCTAAACAAATGTTGATATTAATATAAATATATAATAACATATTCGTTACACTATAAAAGTCACATAATAGCAATCCAACACTGCATCATCAGAGACGTTAAAAAACAGAAAACTGTTAGTCGTTTCAAAAATGCGCTGCTGGCTATTTAGATGATAGATGCTGTAACCGTTAATAAGACAAGCTTTCAATAATATCCCAGTTTTCATCAACTGGGTATCCAAACCCTATTTTTAGCGTTATAAGCCTTCAGACTTATCGCTGAGTCACTGGGGGGGGGGAGCATTATTTTCAGATTCTAAACACATGATACATTTTGTTACTTATATGCAACAAAATTATCTCGATTACATTTAACATTTTTAAAATCGTCTGTCGTCCACAAGAATTTTAGATTTTTGTATGATTTGCAAGCCAATAAATTAGTTTCTAACTCAAAACAACCTTGCTGCATTATGACCCTTATCATGTCTAATCAACCTTAAATAAAAGGTATTTTATTAGAACTCAACGGATGTGGTATGATTTCGTGCTTGACCACACGCGTAGTTAGCTGAGATAAATAAATGATTTACTTGGCAAGATACGTATTTTTAGAATAGAAAGATTCACGTAAGCAACATACATTATCAATTATTCAAAAAGTGCAAATGGCAAGGGTTTTTTTTTCTTTTACTGTAGTAACATGTTCAACCTGTAGGTGGCCATTAGTATTGATCATGATCACGAGAACTGTTATGTAAACTTATCTACATATCTAAATTTGAAATTAAAATAAAAACTTCTTAAAAGACAAATGAAATTTGTATCTCATACTAAGAAAGCTTACATGGGATGGAGTGGCATGGCCAGGTGGTTAGAGCGCTTGAATCATACTAAGTAAGCTAACATGCCATGGAGCGGCATGGCCAGATGGTTAGGGCGCTTGAACCGCGGGTTCGAATCCCCGTCCCACCAAACATGCTCGCCCTTCCAGCTGTGGGGGTGTTATAACGTGACGGTTAATCCCACTATTCGTTGGTAAAAGAGTAGCCTAAGAGTTGGCAGCTAGTGGTGATAGATAGGTGCTTTTCTTCTAGTCTTTCGCTATTAAATTAGGGACGGTTAGTGCAGCTAGCCCTCGTGTAGCTTTGCGCGTAATTAAAAACAATAATTACGATGAGTACAGTTGAACGGTTTAATTTTTTTGTAATTATATGATTTGTTTTACAGTAGTTTAAGTAAAATCAAATATGGCTGAGTATTAAACAGTCACGTAATGATTAATACCCCATATAAATAAAGATTTCTGGTAGTGGCAATAAAAGTGGCTTATTATATATATAAAAAGCTTCATTTTCGACGTAAGAGACCATTTTCTATTGTGGTCATACAGTTTGATGTGGTTAAGAGTACTTACACGGTTTTGTGCTATACGAAACATCAGGGTTTTGTTCTTTTGTATCATGCTAATATTTATACTGTAACTTGATGAGTTATAGTATATAGCTGGTACCGTTTAAATTACTTAAACATAAGTATTGGGTATCTTTAAATTAATATTAGATATATGTAATCTTCTGTATCTTGTCTAAAATGCCTAAAAAACAGCTGTTCCTTCTTTCTTCACTTGGCAGATTTATATAAAATGGAAATTATTTTGTCATTTACCAAGCTTTTTTTTCAGTCACACTGAAACCTGATAATGGACGATGCCATCAAAGAACCCCTTCCAGTGACTGAGCGGAAAACTTTTACAATTTAAAACGTCAAATTCGGGTTTCTCTCCTTGCGATAGACACAGCGAAGGTAGACATTGGCGTTTAAAGCAAAACAAACTTATTGAATTACCCAACTGTTATATTATTTTACAGTTTTCTTTATGGTACGAATGAGCTTCTGGGGCAATACAGGAGTGACAAAACGCACGTTTTTAAACTTAAAACGTGGAGATAAAACCAGTATCCTAGGTAATAAAATGCCATTTTGAAACGCAAGCACGTTTTTCTTTATCAAGCATAAAGGGTGAATTTGTTCGTACAGTATTTTCTGTGAAAATTTATTTGCTCACATTGATTTCTTTATTAAAGGTATCTAGCTATGATCAAGATAAAGATTTTCTCTTCTAGTATAAAAAAAGGTTCTTGTAAAAAGCACAGTAGATTCAACTCTTGATGATGATATTAAGTAAATTTTTAATTATTTCCAAGCAAGTTAAGTTTGGAAAGCAATTGGTGTTCATAAAGGGTTGTATTTGGGTAAGAAATGAGGGTACTGTAATAAGAGAAAACAGCAGAGAGAACTAACTCTATAGAATATAGAATTATTAGAATGTATTGTTGATTTTACCAAGTAATGGATCCGAATCTGAACCGAATGCATTCTATAGAATATTTTACAGGATTAACCTTCATCTATACTTTTTGTCGTTTGTAACTTAAAATAACATAACATTGTTTAGGTTTCAGTTAAATGTTATAGATTGTCATGGGAAGATTTTTATTTGATATCTTGCGGTATCATTTAGCATCTTATAACAGCTTTAATATATATTTTGCTTGGCAGTATATGCTAAAGGTATATGATAATTCTATGAACATATAATGAAATATATGAAGAGTACTATACACTTCTAGAATATGTTTATGTTTCTAGATTATAAAATGGTCCTTATCAGTAGCAATTTTATACATAAATTAAAAAAAATACCCAAAGCTCCAGCGTTTACGAATTGTTATGTATTAGAAATCGCTCAAGTTTTGGGACTTTTTTTCTTGAAATTTATTGCACATTTTGTGTGTGTGATCCTGTGTGCTAACTCTTTTATCAGATATGTTATACATGAAATATCATTATTACCTGGCAAGCCATAGCTGTCAGCTTTGGGATATAACAGTCTGGATAAACCTGGTGTGTGGTGAAGCTGTTTTGTTCCACCTTCGCCAGTCGCCGTATTTCTTCCCATTTGTCTTCTCCGTACTTCGTACAAATGTACTTACAGAGATTCTCCAAGATAAGTCCATACATATTGATTCTTGTTAACAGTTGACAAAGGACTTTACAATCAAGTTGGTTCGTTTTAAAGCCAATCCACTTACAGTTTTTATCCGTATTTTATCTCATGTTTTTCACCTTATTTTTTTAACTTAAGTTATGGAAACAAGAATCTGTCATCCGCTCTAAAACTGATACAGCCTCAAAGTTTAAATCTTCTAGTATATCATCAACAATATACAATATTTTTTTGTCTCTGAACATTTCAAAAATCGAAGTATTTTGCTGCGGGATATAAATGGAAATATTTTTCTCTGTTGCTTTGCTCTATATGTATGCACTGGAAATCTCTGCTGTCCAGTAAGTATGGGCTACAACGGCTCTTGATAATGTAGCACATAGCCAGTGAAGCCTTCTTCCTTTCTTTGAACGCTGAGCACTGCTTCGACTCTCTTTGAAGCATCCGTTTCTCTAACTGATAGTGGAGTAAGAGCACGTGGCCTTATTCAGCCAATCAGAAAGTTTAGTGTGAAGAACGGTTTCAATCGTTTTCATCAGCTTCTTATACGTCTACGTCAGGTTGATGCATAGTGTTATGGCGTATTACCTTCTTCTTTATATGAAATATTTCATTGAGAAAAAGACATAATAATTATTCATTTACATGCCGCCAGTTTAATAGTTTTTGTTTATGTGTTGAAGCTCACAGAAAAACAATTTGTTCGTACAATGTGACCCAGAACTTTATATTGCAAATATGGTTTTCTGATCTCATTATCATAACGAAGTCTCATCTTTTTAAAACTATTAATCTCAACCAATATACAGGGAAACTTTCAAGTATATTCGATATGCGTGACGTGAATGCATTGAAATTATTTCTTCCAAAGAATGCTTCTACTTCGTTTTATAAACATTTTTCCCTATGTGTTATCCATACATCCAACGACACAAGGTTTCGTTTATTCAATATGTTAACCATGTTGTTTAACACGCTTTTGTCATCACTAAATTGATCACAACTCAAAAATGATCTTACAAACATGTGTGCGCAGAATTAAAAGTAATGCATTAAGCCATAGAGAAATAGAGATTTTTTGAAACTTTGGTACATGTGTGTTGGAAGTATAAAGTGCATAGTGAAGTGGGAAAACCTTAGCTGTTTGCTTGTTTAGGATATTCGCGGAAAGCTACACAAGAGCTATCTGCACTAGTTGGCCCTACTTTTGAGCTGATAGTTTAGAATCAACAGCATCCATCACCAATTTTTGGGCGACTTTAAGCGAACAGTTGGATTTAACAGTCACTCTTATAACGCGCCCATGGCCCCAAAGAGCGGAGCGCAAATTTTGCGGCACTCTCGAACTCACAGTCCTGCACGCTAACAATGAATAAATAAAACTATGTATATATATATCTTTTTTGTTTTTGTAGAAAACAAAAAATTACATGAAGTAACTATTATACAAATGTTGCCACTATATACTCTTGGGATAATTTTGAAATACTTTAAAAGTAATATATATTAATAACTTTTTGGCAAAGAATTATTGCAATTGATTTCTAAGCCCAATATTTGAATTTAGCGTCCAACAGAGCAGCAGTGGCTCAACGGTAAGTCTGAAGGCTTATAAATCTAAAAGCCAGGTTTCGATATCCGGGGCACAGCACAGTTAGCCCATTGGGTGGTTTTGCGCTTAACAAGAAGCAAGCAAACAAACAAAGATAGTTATACTGATATAAATCATAGATTTGCACAATGATCGACATACAGTTATATAGAAAGACAAATAGAAATATAAAACAAAGAACTGTTGTAGTAATCGTTACAAATTCAAACAAATCCTCTTTAGTTGACAGTTTCGGTCCAACATAATTCTCATGAGAAATAAAACTGTCTTTTAAAAACAAGACTGCGCAAATGGTTCCAGTAGGTCGGTTTAGGTAAGAACTTCCAACAAACGATGCTTGCAATAAAAATGAGATCAGGTTAGATTCGCTCAAGTTCCAATTAGATTACACATTGGTTTGTAACAGATAGGGATTGACATGTATAGTGAACTCAGTGGGTAACCTAGAAAATTAGATCACTAAGAAATATACATAGATGGTTGTATCGGTTTTTCTTGTTATTTCATTAGTGTTTTCTATTACTGATAATTACTTTAAAACTAATTGTTTTCTAGCAGAGCAAACATTAATTACAAACATTTCTTCTGAACACAAAGTTTGTAATTATGTCATCCTCCATCAGCATTGTATTGTTTAATAGGTATCTGGATAATGTATTTCTATTTCACTAATGAATTATATTTCCACCTTTGTGAATAAAGCCGAAGTAAACATCTAGATGATGACGTTTCAAGTCTTTATGATCGATTAAGCCACGACAGTTCTTGTACCACTAATCCCGACTAAGCCGTAATGGCGAAACGTTGGCTGAAAAAAAAAAGTATTTTTCATTATTATATGGAGAATAAAGGTCATTATTTTACAATCATATTGTTTAAATCCCTTTAATATTCGCAGTACAAACTCTCTAAAGAACAAAATAAATCATGATTTATAGATCAGCTGATGAAATCAATTGTGTAACCAATAACAGTCCATCAAGTGCATCACTGTAGGCATACTTATATTTAAAGCTGATTGGAAAGCATATGAAGTAATGATATCACAGCTTTATGTTGTACAATAATACACTCAGTACTGTGTAGAGCTTTTTAAGGTAGCTATTGCTATTATATTAACATTACAAAGCATCAAGTCTCAAGACTTATTTTGTATCTTTACTAGATTACATCCAATTTTATTGTTAACTCAATATATGTTGTGGCAGCTTAATGGAAAGCTATACAATTACATTCTTAGAATACATAGCCTTCAATATACGAGTAGAGAAGCCTGTTGTTGGAATAGAATTGGGAGCTCTATGTTCACTTTATAAAGAGCTTCACAAAGTGAACAGTGAATTATTTTAATGTTGATAGAAACCCATAGACTTGGATGAATGCAAGTTTAAAGCATCAAAATATTTGATTACACAATTATTCTAATTCTCTTTAATGATCTAACTATTTTGGCTCAGAAAATTGACTTTTTGAAATATCATTTTATCTTGAAAGTTATAAATGTACTTTAGAATAAAACTTACTGAGCGTACAAAGACGAGTCATTACACCTTTTTTTAAAAATATTTGGATGCTTTTTTTTGCCTTAAATAAATCCCTCTTAGTTATCACTTGGTGTTACAAATGAGCAACATAATTTGTTAATTTAATATATTAATCATTTTATGATATATATTTGAATGCTAAAATGTCAAAGAGCTATTTTAGAAAGCATTTCTAACACAACCGCGAATTTTCGATCAAAAGCAGTATTCATTTTCACAAAATTATTCAAAGAATCCTGTATTACATCGTAATAAAATGTATCCATTCATGCTACATGTGTAGTGATTTTCAAGTAACTACTTCCTTTAACCATAACGTACAAGATTTATATCTCTCTGTGTGTGTGTGTGTGGGAGCTATCGGTGAAAGTAAGCAAGATGCAAGAGGTCTTGATCATACCTCCAATACATTCCCGATAAGCCAGTACACAAACATTGATTTATTTATAATTTTATGAAAGATATATGCATTGACTTTCATCTTGAAATCTGGTCTTGAGCCAGAAATGTGAATCTGTGTTCACCAAATATTTAAGATAAATTTAGTTACAGTAAAAACAGATACAGACGTGATTATGATTTTCGCCGTTATTCGTGTTTATTTATATTACATGTTTACTGAACATGAATTGTCAAATATTCTAGAAAATACCATTACTTATAAATAGTGGTTAGATAGGAATGTAGAAAACAAAACAGTTACTTATTTAGAACCAAGCGTAGATTTTTGCCCTTTAATTTTACTCTTAAATTTTTGGGTTCGATGTTACTGTTTTCCTGCAATCCAAACATGCCTAGACGCCTTGATTCCTTTATCTCGGTCTCTTAACTCCAATAGGTTGAACATAAACACTAGTGAGAAAAGATGGTACATGAATATGTCAGTTCTTTGACTTTTCTATTAATCTCTGGGGCCCTATATATAACGTTTTATGGAGTTGGCAACATACACACTCATTTTACCGACACCAGTCGAGCAAGGTGAGTCAAGCAACTCATTTCGCATTTGTGATAGTAAAAAATATAAAAAATAACAACCATGGAGACATGTTAAGAAGCAGGTAAGACACAACCACGAAATTTAATTTTACTAAATTACCATGACTTGCACTTATCCAAAAGTATAAATAAAACACATCAAATATAAAATTTTAAATAAGTTTATGAAACTAGAAAGTATTGGTTAAACTGTATATACATGTTAGATTTGTTCCGCTGTATAATATTGAATACTGAATTCGACGAAATCTCCTAACATTACTCACATAGTCAAATTAATTTAGGTTACTATATCGTGAAGTAAAACGGACTCAAAACCTCATAGGTATCAGTATACATCACTATATGATGAAGTAAAACGGACTCAAAACCTCATAGATATGAATATATATCACTATATGATGAAGTAAAACGGACTCATAACCTCATAGGTATCAGTATATATTACTATATGGTGAAGTAAAATGGACTCAAAACCTCATAGATATGAATATATATCACTATATGATGAAGTAAAACGGACTCAAAACCTCATAGATATCACTATATATTACTATATGGTGAAGTAAAAAGGACTCAAAACCTCATACGTATTAGTATATATATTAGTACACGGTGAAGTAAAACGGACTCAAAACACCGTAGATATGAAGATATATCACTATATGATGAAGTAAAACGGACCCAAAACCTCATAGATATCACTATATATTACTATATGGTGAAGTAAAACGGACTCAAAACCTCATAGATATGAATATATATCACTATATGGTGAAGTAAAACGGACTCAAAACCTCATAGATATCAATATATATCACTATATGATGAAGTAAAACGGACCCAAAACCTCATAGATATCAGTATATATATTAGTACACGGTGAAGTAAAACGGACTCAAAACCTCATAGATATCAATATATATCACTATATGATGAAGTAAAACGGACCCAAAACCTCATACGTATTAGTATATATATTAGTACACGGTGAAGTAAAACGGACTCAAAACACCGTAGATATGAGTATATATATTAC